TACACGTGGCATTGAGGACAGATCAAGCAGTGAAATAAAACATGAAAGGTTGTGTTGTGTCAGGGCGTTGGGAGATATTGATGGAAGCAGAGAAAAGTTGACGAGCTACGTTTGGTCCAAGGAGTCAGGATGGTGCATAAATCGATTGAAGAAGGCAGGAGGAAAAAGAAGAATCTGCAGCATGAATATTGTCGTCTGTGAGGGTCAAACTCATGACCTCAAGATTACTGTGGTACGGAACCACATCATATTGCTATAAGACCTGCACTCTAACCAACTGATCCAAGAAGACATTAGCATTGTTTGTGGGTGTGGCGCACTTGATATGACATTGCTGATTTGATTTTTTCCAGAAGTTCTGAGGGATTGACGTCAACGTACAATGAAAACAATTTACAGTAGCGTAGTATGAGGAGCAGCACTACATTCATACAGTTGGAAATACTGGTTTTAGTAATTCGGTAATAGTCACCCCAATGCCATAACACCGACGCTGTGCACCTACTGTGCAGTATACCCTTTACGTAGCATAAAACTTTTATATTAATTAGTATATACTATAAAGTACTACAGAAATATAGACAATCTCCTTTTGAGATTGTACCCTAGGGCCTAACAGCCTCTGTGCAGTTATAAGGGAATACCTTAATATAACATACAAGATACAATATAAAGCTCCCAAAAATTCCTTACTTTCTACTATTCTTCCTTCTCATTTAGAATTCCTAGAGGCTAGTATAGTTTGAACATAGAACTCGGCTGCAGCAACAGCACTGAAACTCCAATAAATGCTTCTGCCCCCATCCCAAAAGAACTGCCTCTCCTCATCTGCTTCCCCACAGCCTCTGATGGGGTGTATGGGATATTTGGGGTGCTGTGCATGAGGCAGTAATGAATATCTTCTGCTCCTTTGTGGGACTAGAATGGAGTAATGCAGGGTAGAAGGCACACAGGTATCCTGAGCATCACAAAGAAGTTGAGGCTCTGTATGAGCATCATCCTTGAGCAGGGGCTAGATGAGCTGCATTTGGTCCAAGGAGTCAGAGTGGTGCATAAATTGATGGAAGAAGGCAGGAGGGAAAAGGAAAAACCCTCAACACAGGACACTCCTTGATCTTGAACCACCACCACCTCTTCCAGGGTCCTGGTTGTTCATAGATTGTAGTTGAGCCATTGTCACTTCTCTTTCCTCAAGCCCAACTAAGCCCTTGTGCCCCAACATATGTTACTCTCTCTACACCCCCTCACCCCCCCATCCCCCTCCTTAGGCATGGCAGGCCCCCACATGAAGCCCTATCAGTGCAGAGCCAGCAGTGCCACTACACAAAACAGGACCCCAAACAACCTCAGGCCCCTCCCAGAAAGGACTGATCTTGGAGTAATACTCTCTGGCAACAACAGACTGATCAAAGTCATCAAAGATGTGAGGAAATGGCTGGACTTGGAAGGCTGGGTATAGCTGGGGAAACCTACAACTGTTCCAAAATGGTAAGGATTCTCCTCACAGCAGCCCTCTCCCTCTCTGCCACCACATCAAAGAAAGACATCCATGAAGCCTGCAACACCATGATCATGTCAGTGTTCCTGATTGAGGATGACATCACAGACTCAATCTCGGATTCCATGTCTGATGCCTTAATGTGCAAGATCCTGGACCGGCTCAAAGACCCAATTGCCAAGCTCGCCAAATCAACTGACTTCCTCAGTGCAACAGACAATGCCCAAGCCCAATTGACCATTTCAATGAATACCATCATGGATAGACTTGGTGACATAACCAGCTCCCTCATGGCTTTATTGACCAAACCAGCACTCACAGCACCCTTCCCTCTCACCCACACCACATAGGCCAAAGTCACCACAACACTACCCAATAAGATAACAACAACATTCTCCCCCATGGCCAGCCCACAATTCACAGACCTCCAATGCACAATCTGTTGAGATTGTCTGTGCAATCACGGACTTACCTTACCTACATCTGTGTTAATATATTTCGTGCTATTTCGTTCCCACACACCTCAGTGTTATTCTACATTCACTGAGGTCTCCTCATTTACATTCAGTTTCCCTCACTTCATTGCATCCCGAATCCTCCCGTACTCCGGTCCACTGCTCAACAGGTTATGGGCCCTGAAACTACCTTTGATATCTCGACCAGTAAGGTCACAGTTCCTAGGCTATCTGCTGATGGCTCCAATTGGACGACATACTCAGAGCGTGTTCTCAACACACTCACATCAAAAAAGCTCTGTCGTCACGTCATGGGTAAAGTGCATAAACTGGCTGATCTTATGGAACCCAAAGGGTTCTTCTTCATGGGAAAGAATACATTAACCCCATTATCAGACAAGGAAATAGCGGCATATGAAGATGAAGTGGAACTATGGGAGCAGAAGGAGGCACAGGTCCAGGAAATCATCTACGGATCTGTGGATCAGTCAACCTTCTATCAGGTCAAAAAC